AGCGAATAAACTACTTAACGAGTAAGTCACCATCAGTGCCAGCATTGTTACAGGTTTCCACGAAATGTGCAATATGCTGCTTAGGGTTGCTATTGCCATCAAATTGTTGAAATTTTGGAGATTGATATCCCATGAGCATCTTCAAACTTTCCACTCTAGCGGTATAAGGTTTGGTGTAACCGCTATATGACTTGGCACTTCCACCAATCTTGTCTTTGATGGTGCCTTCGATAAATTTCTTCAGATTATCAACATGAATAGTGCCATCAGGGGAGATTGAAAATTCTTTCGTGGCTTGTGACTTCGCATCCTCTTTCTCCTTCTCCCTTGATGATGAGTCACTTTCATCTTGCACTTTGGATTTCTGTTTAGACATACTAAGGCTATTTTCGCCTATATTTTCCACGATAGCCATTAATTTGACTATCTTGGCATCTTGACAAACTACTAGCCCTTCGACAATTTTGGCTAAATTTGAAATCTGATCTTCCACAGTTGCGATATTGGTCATCATGACGGGCATCACCACAGAGGCAGCCGAATCACTTGGGCTATCAATAGATTCATCATGGGCTCCTTTCTTATTGGGAAGCATCTTGAGGTTTGCTTCTTCAATCACAATGTTCGCCTTGGCTTCTCTGCTAATTTCTTGGCCTTACTCCTTGTCAGAGGTGCAGTTTACTGCGTCTCTTGAGTGGTTGAGACATCAGCAACTAAGCCTTCAAGAGAAAAGTTCACCTTCTTGAACTCCATTGAATTTTGAAACTGATAAGTTGTTGAAAGAAAAGAGATGAGAGGCAGAGATAGTCCCACTGGGCGTGCCAGAAATTTGTAAGTACAAATTTTGTTGCCTAAAATAAAAGACAAGAAAACTTGCACAAATATCAAATTGATTAAATCAAATAATAAGCGGGTTACAATCTCTGAAAGTTCTTGAATCAAAGAAATCAATCCCCTGATTCTTTTCTTCGAATAGCTTCAATTGAAGGGTCGAAAAGACTTGTTCTCCAATCGAAAGGGTGTTTTCTACAATTTCGACGTAAAAAACGATTGATTTGATGATGGCGTCAAACACTTGGAACTTTAAGTTTTCAACACCGATAGCAGGAGGATTTGTTTGACTTGATTTGGACTTGAATTGGAGGAAGAAAGCTCTTTGGGAAAATTTGACAGAGTTTCTTCGAAAGTTATGAAATTTTCTCGTCTATCTTTGCCTTGAGAGAAGACCTCTATTTATAGCCAAAATATGTATGCTAAGTCTTCAAGAAAACCCTCCAGAAATCTTCCTGCATTTTGGGTAAAGAAATCCATTTAATTTGGGTTTAAATAGTGGGCCAACCCAAATGGTCCATGGTGAATTAATAAAGCAATCAATTCACTCTAACTTAAATGGACATTATGAATTTAATTTGATTTAATAGCTCATATAATATTGACCCAATTTGCCAGTCCAAAACATAATGGACTTCTATAATTTAATTTAATTTAATCAAGATCGATTTAATTTAAATAAATCCTGACTAAATAAATTAAATAAATTAAATAAATTTTCTTCGTCTACAAGAACTTTTTTCAAATCTAGCCATACATATTTTATGCAAGTTTTGGCAATTAAACTTTTACATGTAAAATAAGTAAGTGCATTGATCTTTAGCAAAGAGATACGAAAAACATAAAGGATTACTATTTGATTTTGTAGTTTGGTGCTTACAAAGATGATATAGTTTCTAAACTAAAGTTCAACATAGAGAAATCAACAAGAAATATAGTAAATATGAAATTTATCCATCTCACTTGAATTGGTAAGTAAAACCAAAGTATTTGACTAAAAATTGCCGGACTCAAATCTCCAATGGCAATTTGTCAGAAGTACTTGATATGAAACTAGGAATAATATATTTAGTTTTCCAAACAGCAAAATATAAGTAGTATGTCAAAAACTGAAAAAAAAAAAAAAAAGAAAACAAGGAATTTCTTGTTTCGCTTGAAAAAAAAGGTTGTGTAGGAAATTAAACCAAACTATTTTAGTATTTAGTTTTCTATTTCTTTTTGGTGCCATATTTGTTTAGTTTCCACATTAGATTAGGAAATCTCAAGTTAGTTTCCAAGTAAGTGTTGGTTTGCAATTATAGTTGTTTTAGGAAACTTTGCTGTCTATAAATACTACCAGTGTAGTAGGTTGTTATTTGAAGAGTTGAGTTGAAAAGTTGAGTCGAATCTTGAGAATAGGTTTGAGAGAAAGTTTCATAGTTGAGATTTATGAGTTGTCATTAGTGAAACGACTTGATATTTGTGATTGTTGGGTATTGAGTTAAATAAATTATTGAGTGTTTGTTGTGTATTTATTCTCTTCATCTTCCCACATATTTTTATATGTGTTAAAATTGCTTCCACCGTGCGTGTATTTTTCGTGCTAACAAGTGGCATCAAAACTCTAAGCTTTGATCCTAGGGCTAGTCTGCAAAATTGGAGCACAAAATCAGAAGATTTATTTTTGACAATTTGGACACAGAATTGGTCCAAATTGAGTGGAGATTAAATAATTAAAATATGGATCCGCATTATTTACAACATTATCCTATTTTTTATCTTTGATGGTAAAAACAATTTTGAGACTTGGAGATCGATGATGAAGAATTTTTTCAAAGATATTGGAGTTTGGAATATTATCCAAAAGGGGTTCACGGAACCTATAGCAGGTACAGAATTATCAAGCGATGCAGTTAGACAATTAGAGAGGAATAGACAATTGAATTGTAGGGTATTCTACTAGTTTGGCACCCAAGTCCAATCCAGTTACATGTAGTGAAACAATTCATACATGCAAAAACAGCAAAGGAGGCTTGGAAATTTTTGATAAATTCCTATGGTCATGGTGAAGAAGAAATTTGTGACGAAGAAAAAAAAGAAGAAATAAAATTTTTTAATGAGACAAAGAAAGAAGAAATTGTAGAAGTTGTGGGTACACATGAAGATGAAGAATTTATAACTCAACAAGAAATTTCACAAGTGGTTGAGAAAGAAAATGAAATCATTGGTCAAAGTAAAGAGGTGATTAAAAATCGTGATGATGCAGAAATTGTTAATTTTGTCAAGATTGATGAATTTTTGAAGAGAAAAATCATATAATGGAATTGGTTGACTTCAATTATGAAGTGGACGATTTGGTTGAAGGTTGTGATACTACTAAGATTGATGCAGTTGTCAATGTAAACCAATCAACACAAAAACATGGTGATGTTAAAAATTTTGATGGTGAGAATTATGAATTTTTTATATTGGGAGATTTTCTTAGTGACATGGATAAATTAAATTATGGAGTATGCGAAGAAGAATGGGTGGATATGTTTAAATTTTTTGACAAGAGTGATCAAGCGAAGAAATTATTCAAGAAGTACAAGTTTTGTTCACTACCACACATGAAAATGAAATTGAAAATTCACTACAAGTTGGTGATTTACGTCATTTATAGAGCGATCGAATCGTTCATGGAGATTCAAGCTTGTGATGGCATTAGAGATGACAGCATTAAGAGATTGGTTGAAGGGAGGCAATATAAGAAATTAAACCAAATTATTTTAGTATTTAGTTTTCTAATTATTTTTGGTGCCATATTTGTTTAGTTCCTACATTAGATTAGGAAATCCCAAGTTAACTTTCAAATAAGTTTTGGTTTACAATTATTGTTGTTTTAGGAAACTTTGCAGTCTATAAATACTACCAATCTAATAGGTTGTTATTTAAAGAGATGAGTTGAATCTTGAGAATAGCTTTGAGAGAAAGTCTCTTAGTTGAAATTTATGAGTTATCGTGAGTAAAACTACTTGATATTTGTTATTATTGGGTATTGAGTTAAATAAATTATTGAGTATTTATTATATATTTATTTTCCTCCACTTTCCACGTATTTTTATACATGTTAAAATTGCTTCTGCCATGCGCGTATTTTTCATGCTAACAGGTTGCCTACGATAAAATATTTAAAAATATTACCACTTATGTCTAAGGCAATTCCTAGCTTTTCTGATGTCCTTTTCACATGAGGCAGACGTCTGAGGCTAGAGAGTTTTCATTTGTCTTCTGAAAAATATGAAAAAGTTGAACAAGGTTCGACTATAAATACCGAATGAACTGAAGCTATATTCCACTCCATTCATCCTCGCTTATCAAATCTCCAACGTTGATGGCCAACTTAAGTTTTTCTATGCTTCTTTTCGTCATTGCCAGCATTTACGCTGCATGTAGCTTTTCCAAAAGCACAGCATTTTCATCTATTGCTTCAGAACAACTGAAGTATTGGCATGAAAATGTACAAAATATACAAAATACCATGCCTACGTCTCTTCTGTCTGAATTATCTCCACTCAATAAAGATGACTGTGAATTTTTCACTTCATTAGCATCCAAATATCTTTTTCTTCTAATGCCAATTTTTGCAGTCTTGCAAATCTAGCTTGTTATGCGGAGATGAATAACATCAAATCCTTAGGCAATAATGCCGGCTGTAATATTCATAAAGCGCCTCCAGGACTTGAAAATGTTGACCCTTTTTCCTTGCTTAGAATCTCCATTCTTAAACAAGGAAATAGAGTGTATCTCTCCAATTTGGAGAACCAGTTTCCTCAACCTGGATTTCTTCCTTCTCAAATTGCATCCAAAATTTCTCTAGATGATACTATGCTTGAGAAAGTACTTCCTCAATCTTTTGTGAACCCCAACACAAAAGGAATATTGAAACTACACTTCTTTATTGTAATTCTACAGATTTAAAAGGAGAGGTAAAAAATTGTCCTACATCCCTCAAGGCCATGATTGAATTCTCAAAGATTACATTAGGTAGCAAGTGCTTGGTTGCATTGACTGCTAAAAGTACAGAAGGTTCAGGAAAAGAGCTTATTATTCAAAAAATCAAAAAGCTTAATGTAAAAAAAATTGTGTCACGTCACGAGGTATTCCATCCTTTTTCAACTTACTTTTGCCATATGCTCTCCTCAACTGAAATCTATGCAGTGGATGTAGTTGAACCTAAAACAAAAATTCCAGTCAATACAATCTTTGCAATATGTCATATGGATGCCTCCGCGTGGTCATCATATCATGCAGCATTCAACATGCTCAAGCTCTCGCCAGGAAAAGGTGAACCGTGCCACTGGATTACACATATTGATCTTCTTTGGATTGGTGCTAGAAAGGATATGGTGTAGGGTTGAAACTCAACAACTGCTTATTACTTATTAGCGTCTCTGCGTGTGTTGTTTTAACATTCCTATCGACTCTGGTCGTCTTATTGTCCACTTAGTGCTGACAAATAAAAATTAAGTGGTGTGCGAATCCTTGCTTAATCACGTATCACATACTTGTACCGTTGTTCTCATAAGAAGTTGAACCTTGTTTTTTCCCTGTAAAAGCTTGATATTTAGCAGAAGTTTTTCAAGTGCAATTTGATGTTTTTACTTTGCATTTATGCTGCTTGCATGTTGATATACAATCGATTACCTTGAACATAAGCCATTGTTCAATAGATTATTATGTTATTTGAGGAAAGTTAACTACAAAAATCTTTAAAAAGTACTATGAGTATTGAGCATGTGAAGTTTCAGTTCGGCCATAAAATGTGATGCTCAAAGCAACTCACGTTTTGCATATAACAGTACATCATCTTTCATTTACTTGGTCAAGGAGGTCTTTGATCTAATGACTAAAGTTGAGATTCAAAAAATTTGACATTCTGACCTCACATTCTTTTACCTCATTCCCGCTTCTTAAAACCCACCCCTTCCCTGTTAAAAAAAAATTCCATTTACTTGTGAAGGAAAGGATAGGAAATCTTAGTTGGCTCCTTAATTAAAGGTTTGTTGACAGTAATTTAGGTTCTAATATCTATTGACACAACTCTATTAGTTAAATTTAACTTTGAACCCTTACACTATAGATGCACTCTTACTTTAGTCCTTAAACTTTTAATTTTAGGAAATTTAATCTAGCAAATACAAGCAAATAACTAAACATTAGTTTACGTTTTTGAAGCAAATTGCACTTGCATGCACTTGGTTATGTTTTAAGAAAAAATTGCACTAAAAGAATTAGGAGTGTAAATAAACCTAATCAAATCGAACATCCTAATGTTCAAACTTGTTTGATTATTTTAATAAGTTCAAAATTTTGTTCAAACTTGGTTCGTTTATTTATCAAACCAAACTTGAACGAGCATTTTTATCAAATTTGAATATTATCAAATATAAAACACTATTTAACCTTGGCTTGACTAATTAGTAAACCAAACTTGAACCAACTCCTATCAAATTCAAGTGTCGAGTAATTTGATTTATCTTTCAACCCTAGCAAGAATTATACACAAAGAAGATTGAGTCTTCAAAACTTAATTATTACTAAAGTTACTTCATGGAAGATACTAAAATTAAACAGTCAGACATATTGGAGACCTTAGTCTAGATCATTCAGCCGTATCTTACTCCTTTCTACTCTATCATGCTTTTTCCCCTTCAAAAACCTCAAAACCCACGCAGCTTTGTTCAGATAAAGAACAAGATCAGAAATGATAATCTAACACATCTTTACTAGATTACTTTTTGATTTACCATTTTCACGAGTAATTTTTGCTTAGAATTTGTAAAAATTAGCTTCACATCGGATAGTTTGTCGTTTCAATCTTGTTTATGAAGAGTTTACAGAAATGGTGGTAGTTCGCAGTAGAAGAATTACTTTGGTGAAATGTCTGTGCTGTTAGATATGGAGGACCGAAGGTGGTGTCATAAGGTCAAGTGGAAGGCGTGAAGGAGGAAAGACGTGGAATAGGTAGAAGAGACAAATGAAGGCGTGATTTCAAGACCACGCCTTAGCTGGAAGTTGATTCTGCAACAAACGCACGTGAAGACTGAAATTCGAATAACAAACTTTCAAATTGGCTGCAACGGCCTCTCAGCCACTTGGTCATGCCAATTAGAAGATATGAAGTTGGTTATCAGCAGGTCATCTATAAATAGGATAGATTGAATGTAATAGGGAGGCAATTTTTGTGTAATATCAACAGAGATTGGGGCTGAGCCCTTCCTGTTTCTTTTCCCCCAAATTCCTCACTCTTGTTCATCCTCTTAGCTTTTTCCCGCCCTTTCTGTAACCCCTAATTCATACATCAATTACAGCTATCTGAGTCAATTCTACAACTTATCTCTTCAATTGATTAGTTGTTATCCAGTTGATTTATTCATTCCTGTTATTAGATTTGAGAATTCCACATAGCTCAGTCTGGTACCATTACAGGTGGCTGGAGGATGAAGTGCAACTGATGGAAGGAAGGTAACAATGGAAAGTGAAACATGTACAAGGGAAGAAAAAAGGAAAGTATAATAGAGGTGGAAACACAGGATCCATATACACAAATCCACAAACATGGTGGTAAAATGTTCACAATACTTTTGTACATACCACTAAGAAGACTCTTTCCAGCACAGTATGCTGATGTAAACAATTTACTTTCACATGAACTCTGTTAATCACGACAATTATCATTAAAATGCCCGAAGATACTTTCAACCCCCGAGAAATTCCCCTTACCTTGATTATGCAGGTCACTAATCAAATTTTAACATCCCCATCCACCCTAGGTTTATCGAAGTGTGAAATTCTTTTCTTGTTCAACAAAGGAAAAGATTGTCTTAGTTCAGTTGTCGTGGTCTTCTCAACAGCTTATCCAAGGGGCAAAGACCACTTTGAATGATCAATGAGCAACACCATAATGAAAAAAATGCAGGTATAAATATCATACCCTTGTTGATGCAGCCTATAAGTCCATAAATTTTTATCCTCAATCATTAGGATGGCCATCCCAACTTTATTATCGGTTTCTCTAACTCTTGCTTACTTTCTGTACAGCAATGGCATAAGTGCTTCCTCTTTGTCACCTGTTTCATATCCTCCATCTTCTGTTGCTCATAATCAGCTTAGCCTTTGGTCCAAATACGTGCACAACCCAATGCCTGAAGTTCTTCTCTCAAAACTATCTCCCATGTCTAAGCGAGACTTTAGTTACTTCAATTCATTATTGTCCAAGCCAACTTTTGTAGCAGATGCCAAATTTTGCTCCACTGCTCAATTAGCTTGTTCTTATTCCAATCAGGATCAAAACCGGCACATCACAAATCCATCTCAAGGATCCAAACTGATTGATTATATACCATATGGACCATATGCTGCAAATGCATCTCGAGGATCTAAGCTGATTATGTATACACCTTATGGACTAGAAAATACTTCTCAAACATCAAAACTGATCAAGTATATTCCGTATGGACCATACTTTGCAAATGCATCTCAAAAATCTGAACAAAGTAGCTACAGAGAAAATGTTACCAAGTTATCTCCTAGCCAAGGATTAGACGATCCTCATGTTTTCTTTCGACTTTCAGTGCTTAAAATAGGGAATAAAGTCCATATACCAAAAGTTCTAAATCACAGATTCCCACATCGTTCATTCCTTCCTTTTCCAATAGCAAAAAAGTTTATGATGAGCTCCAATGACATTGAAAGAATCTTTCCGGAGTGTTTTGGGTCTCCTACAACAAGAGATGCAGTTTTAAGTACCATTTTTTATTGCAATGCACCAGCAATAAAGGAAGAGACCAAGAGCTGCCCCAAGTCATTAGAGGAGATGCTTGGATTTTCCAAAGCTCTTTTAGGCAAAAACCTTTTATCTGTTTTGACAACCGAAAGCGGAAGGGGCTCAGGAACTAATCTCCTGATTCAAAATATAAAACAATTTGATGTCAAAAAACTTGTGGCATGTCATGAGCTTTTCTTCCCCTTTGCTACGTATTTTTGCCACTCACTCCCCTCAACACACCTGTATCGTATCACCTTAGTTGAAGTTGAAACAGGAGTTCCTATCAACAAGGTTCTAGCAATATGTCATATGGATACATCTGGAATTCCTGCAGATCATATTTCACTCAGAGTATTGAATCTTTCACCTGGACAAGGTGAAGCATGCCATTGGATGCTAGAAACTGATCTCATTTGGATTGATGAAGGTGAAAGCATGGTGTAAGTGATGCTGCTGACTGCTGATAAAGACAGGGAACCTCCCTTGTGGTGATTGTCAAGCGTTATATTAAGCTCCAGAAGAAAGAAAAGATTCTGCATTGATGTGATTGTAAAAGAACATACTAGCTCTATATACAGTTGCTACTGTATAGTTTACAGAAACAGGTGGTGTGTTCTATAAATAAATCTTTATAAAACTTTATTTGCTTTCAGTCTCCAGGAAAATTTTTAAAAAATTATCATCAAAGGCGCATTTGTTTGAGCATATAGGCAAGACTTTTATCAAATTATCATGGATGAATTGAGAATATATACTCAATAATATAGGAATATGTACCATTCTTTGTACATAATGTACTTCACATTTTTTTATTAATAAATAGCAAACTTTAATTACTCTTTCAATAACAAATTGCTTATCTAGCATGCAATTTCCAGTAAGTGTTGCTAATCTATCTCATATGGATACATAACTTTCTTTGTATAGCTTTGGTTCCAAATCTTTTACGCGGTAATCTCTGAAATTATCTTACACCTAGATGGAAGTACATCTGATATATAGTTTATATATATATATATATATATATTTATATATATATACCAAAGTTTTAAGGTTATTACTATCATTTCTTCTATCTTTCCAATTACAAACTTTTTTTCTTTGTTTTGACAATACCATCCAAACAATGCAGAGTTAATCACTAGGTTGTTCTATAAAAATTTGTGCTTTGCAGGCAATTGTTTTCTTGGGTTTCGCAGATTAGCCTTCCATGTAGCTCGATTGAAATTAATTTGGTAATAAAAAAGAAAAAGACTAGTACCAAAGCAAAGTGTAATACTTTTAGTTGCATATCGTTTTGGATTAATATGAAAGTCGGGTAATTAAAAGGTCTAATTCTATTTAAAATTAATCTTTGCTCACTTAGGCCAATTCTTGAGTTTTTGCCCTTCTTATATTCCTTGATACCAAAAGTTATTTTAACAAATCTTCAGAATCTTACTAATATGCTATTCGTAAAATAACTTTGGTATCAAGGAATATTGACCACATCTGGATTGCTGTGGAAGAAATTAAAAGAAGGAAAGAGTAATTGCTTGTCAAATGAACTGTAAGCTAATCCACATCTGGATTCAGAAAGTATATTGGAAAGAAAATGTACCTTTTTGTACCATAGAGCAACACATGAAGCACATTATGAAGCACGAGCAACATTGGAGGACTAAGTCAGGTTGTTAAAATTCAACAGTTTACTCTAAGCTAATCTATGATAGACAATATCATTTAGCCATATATAGTCAGAGTTTCAATTAACAGCATTCATCTTGTAAATCTTGAAAAAATGACACAAATTCACATGGAAAGTTTCACTGGGTAATGTTTGAATAAAGGCTACCAGACCGTTAAGGACAAAGCAAAATCAATTCCTCTGAAAGGCCAAATGTCAGCTCACTCCTAATTTACCTTTAATATCATGAACGATAAAATTTTCAGCAATTATCATCACTCAAACTACTGCAAGTGTACATCAATCACAAGAAATTATCATGTGATTCTCGGCTAAGTTCTGGCTACAATGTCCTGTAGTGAAGCTACTGGATAATAGGCATAAAGAAGTTAATCTTAAGTATACAAACAAAGAAAAATACAAAATTCTAAAGGAAAGCAAGACTTAGGCTAAGATACTTGGTGGTAAAAAGCAAAGAGATGCAGCAAGTTATTCCTGATGTTAATAGCTCCAGCATCCGGAAAATTTTCACAGCAGGCAATCTTAAAGTATATATAATACGGACTTACAGTATACTATACCTAGGAAATTAGAAAGGAGTTGAAATGTGGAAACACATATATAATGATGATTAATAACCATGACAAATGGAAAGAAGCACCACAGTCTGGTTCTTCAAATTCTCGTACATGATCTCTTTACTCTAAATATGGAAAACTCAACGATTCCCCAAAAATTAATTTTTCTCCAAAATAGGGCAAAACTTTTAAACAAACTACATGACTAACTGGCATTTTTCTTAGAATATGAACACTTTATGTAGGTCTCTGAAGCAACTGAATAAAAAAAGGTTTGACCTACGGACCAGAAATCTTGAAAATTTTGGCAATTAACCAAAGACCAAACAAATGACTAACTCCAAATATCAGAAACTACTGCTAACACTATCTAGTGGTACACCAACTTAAGTATTAAATTGAAGAAACATGCTATTACTCACCACAGACACCTGCCTTTTAACCCAAAGGACTTCTTAACTGAACAGAACAACACATCCAGATACCATTATCTTTGTATTTCCAATTAAATAACCATGCATCATCATCTATGATGATATCTATTGCCTGTAACAAATTGGCCAATCTTGTTGCAGCACACATCATATTGTTTGACCATAACCTACCCAAGTTGACAGAATTATATGTAAGTTTGACAATCAGCGCCTAGTGATAAAAAGGCTTTACGCAAACTTAGCCAAACAGTTTGTCACTGAGGAAAAAGGAACATAAAAATGAAATAAATAAAAATAAAAAACTAAATCAGTGGTTTCTAACAAACTGAAGACTCCACGATTAAAAGCAAAGATAAAAGCAGTTATTGAATATTGTATTACTCTGCCACTTCCCATCAGCTTTTTTTAAAACATCAAACTCATTTGATCAAGTTTCAAATCAAGTATCCCCTTCATCAAAATCATGATAATGAAGAAAATGTATCAGACACAACTAAATCAGAAATCTAAATGAACATGCTTAATAATATTTTCAGACTCGTAGCATTAGTGATTTTTATAGCAATTTTTTGGTTTTGACATCATAACAACTTTCTCATCCCAAATTAAGCAGCATACTACAAGTTACCAGCACCAACTCATTCTCCCCCTCTTTAACTTCTCCATGTCAAGTTTTTCTCCACTTGCTACCTCGATCTCCACTACCTCATCCATCAGTGAAGTCGAGTTTATCCTGTAGGCCCTGAATAGAGACTAAAAGTAGCTTATACCTACTTAGAACCAAAAAAAAAAAAAATTTAATCCATTAAATTGGTGATAAAAATGGCACCAGAAAAATCGATGGATCTAGTAGACTGCATATACAGCTTCTTTTCCAAGAAAATCAATGCCAAGTATGAGTTTAGATATAAAACCTAAATAACTACAAAACACCATGTTACTTCATTGCTGCACACATAATGCACAAACTGTGGCACAAGAAATTGTTATGCTATGAACTAAATGGACCAATATATTTCTATGGACTATTGGCTTGAGCAGAAAACATGTGTCACCAAAACTTGAATAGCTATGAAGTAAAAGTCCACATGGTGCGATTTTACAAGAATGAACACATACTATTATCAAAGTCCACGTAGTAATAGCTACGGCTCATCAGCAGTTCTTTAGAAATACATTAAAACTGTCTAAGAAGTAGAATTTTCTTTTCTACTAGTCATTAAGAGTGATTGAGCATCATTCTCTGGCTATTCATGAAATTAATGACAACCACCAACTTCAATTTTCTATCTAAACTTTTCACAGGTACCAAATAGCCAGGAAAAATTTCGAACACGCTTGTTTGGTTTTTCAAGTTTCTTCATTCGTTAATCTTGAACTGTATTGCTCCTTGAAGTTGTAACCATAACACCATTTGTTTTACTAGAATTCGCTGACAAACTCAATGTCCTATTGATCTGATCATAGCTTATCTATTGTCTTGCAAGAGCATTCTTTTTATCCCCTAAGTCTACATGTAAAACGAATATTTGGCCAATCATGCATCTGATCTTCTTTTGCAAAACAGACAGATTAAGACAAGCAAGTGTTTTAAATTTAGCCAACAGGGAGATCAAAACTTAGTGTTTGCTGCTTCAAACAGATATAACAAGATAAAATGCAGTATATGTAAGATTAAGGAAAGCAAGCTCCTGAAAGAAAATAAAACAAACAGAGCAATATAGGGTCTAAACCAATTAAAATAAATATTGCAAAACAAAATATTGCTCAAAACAAATTCTCATTCAGCATTCCATTTACTTGATGTACAGATCCTGAACCTGGTATTCTAGTATAAGAGACACTACCTGTTTCTTCGTCACATGACTCTATTTCCCCAGTATGAGTTCCATCATCCTCATAATCTATTTCACTTGCAGATGCAGCATTATTCTTGCACTTGTCATCAAATTCAGAGATTTCTTCAGATTCTAAGATTTCATCATCCATGGAATCAATATCTGTTTGAAAGAGAGCATGAGAACATTCTTCAGTTATTGAAGACGCATCTTCTTTTCCCTCAACCTTCCTTGCCCATTCTATTCGTCTTGGTTTATCAAAGATTGAGTTCAGATTCCGGTCATTTGGGTCACCGTAAAGTGCAACATGTCTATAGTATAATTCAAGCTCCTTCTCGGCAATAGCAATAAACCGTCTAACAGACTCAAGTGACTGCTCGTACTTGGATTTTTCTAATGCCTGAAAGAAGATGAAAAAATCACTGAAAAGGTTAACAAAATTGTAATCTACAATGGAAAAGAGAAGGAAAAGGAGCACATCAAAAACCAGACAAATGTATGCCGAGTAAGACCCCTTTTTCTTTGATTGCCTAAGAGATGACTGCTCATTAAACTGATGTCCACAGGATACCCAATCATAAAGGAGATGGATGATTCCAACAAAATAGCCCATCTACAGAGCATTTATATAGCTCAAGCAAAGTCACATGAGCGTAAAAATTTTTTTGCCAAGAAGATTCCACAATATTCTCGGATAAGGTAATGTTAATGGTGAGGTTTATAAAATTGAAACCTTCATATGACAACCTTGCGGACAATTATAAACCTTTTGATATAAATTAAAAAGGACCTCTTCCATAGAGTAATCCAACAAAGAGGCAGCTTTCAAAAACACTAGATTTTATGAAAATCTGTCATTGACTTCAAACAAGAAGCAAACTTGAAGTTTATTACAAGAAGTCCAAGTATAATTGTCACGTGAATGCTACTACAAATGTGACATTTGCATTTCTCATGAAGACATTCATAGAGCACTGCCACAACCTATAGTGATATCGCAGTCACAAAATTACAGTAAAAGGTAACTGCAAATTCTCACATGTCAGGTCAGACATCCCTGAATGTATAGTGAATTTGGTACCTAACAGAAGCATGGAACTCTTGTTCAGAACTCCGTATATACTCCTTTCAATAGACAAAACAAGTACTCATCCATGATAACCGTGACAAGGAAAGAACTATATATTCCTGTAGTAGCCAAGTTGAACATAAACACAGCCTTGTTTCCCTCCCCTTTTTTAATTTTGTTTCTTTATTATTTTCTACTGATCTCTGTTTTAGCACCCAAACAACCATATAATTCCTATACAAGTGAGTTATCATGGCTTAGAGTTGAGGAATTTTCTAAAACAACAATGCCGTGATCCTGAAATTCAGCATCAGCCCTAAAGCTAGAACTTGCTACAATCATATAAAGACCACCAACAACCCTACATGAAGTCACCAAATTAAGCCTTTATCAATCGAAACAGAACCATAAAGGCACTGATGTCAAAAGTAAAATTAACTGACATGGTTGGAATCCTTGAATCAATTGAAAGCTATTTCCAAATGCAAACAGGATTACTGGGTCTAAAATACAATCCAAATAAACAAAGCCACAATCAATATTCAGGATTGCACCCAAAACAATCTTATTGTTGGATCACAAGAACAACTGAATTGATAAAGAAAATTCAAATCTTGAAGATCAAATATTCATGTAGAACCATTAAACTGGCTGTAAAGGCAAATAGTCCTCGATCTTTTTAATAACACCTAAGCACTCATTGTGATCCTGGACGAATATATTTAGGACAAACAATCCACATTTATTTGCAACATTTTTCAGACATCCAACATTTTCATTATAAGAGATATATTGACAAGAACACAGAAGAGAGAAATTTAATGCTCAAATTATGCTTGCAAAAACTCCAGCAGAGTGCATAGTTATTCCCCAAAAAAAAAATTTTTTTTTGGGTCAACCAACGCCAATATACAAGAAACTGACATAAGTTAAGTCCTACCAGTATGTTCCAAAAAGTTTTAAAAATCTCGCAAATTTCTATTACATATATCCCTCGTACTAGTTTTCAAAAGCTAGCAATTTGACTTACCAGTATTACTTAGATTCTATCCACTTTGCACCCATATGATCATACATGCAACAACACATGCTTGTAACTGAAGTTCAGTAGAAACTTCAGTGATAAAAGGATGGCCTGCATGACTGAGGAATAACCAAATAATCGAAATGTACTATACATGTCTGGTTATGTTATTTCAAGTAAAATGTTTTTCATTGTAGACTGTCTTCATGTCCCATGTCCAATGTCAATTTTTCAGCTTCAAAAAAAAATGAAGTGTACCATCTCATCAGAATAGACCCAAGAGTCTTGAAAAAGGAAAAAGTAACTAAAAAACTATCAGAAGGTTGCATAAGTTATACAAGCCAATGAATGAGTCTAAATCAACTCAGACACTAAGACGATTAAAAATTGCAGTAGAAAAGATATGTAGGAAAACCAATCCACAAAGCAATCAAAGATAACTAAGAATCTCCTACAGGTAGCCAGAGACTTATGTAGTACCCAAAGAAGTATAGATTTATAAACAAAGTAAATCATAGAAGAAACTTACCCTCTTCTTGGACAATGTATCGATGGGCGACATAACTTCTGGCTGCACATAATCCATTCCGCGATAAAAAACTATTGTATCATCACCGATTATTTGAATTGGAATTCCACCACTAAGCCTGGCAATTTCACTAGCATAATCTTGCACTTGACCAGGTTTGCAAGGTTTGCAAATGACCTTGACAGTTTCATGCTTCTTCCAATGCAAATGCATATTAAGAATGACACCACCAAATACTCCTCTCCTACCAATAGGTACATAATTCGACCTTTTCTGGGCCATTTTCTTCATGTAAAATCGTTCTTCGCCAGTCAGCTCATGTGGCTTAACAACAGGACCCTGGACCTTGTTGACCTCATACCGCTTTAGTCTTTCAATTAGCAAGGCTTCCTTAATTTTGGCCTGAGGTAAAGAAAAATCAGCCCTGTCAGTTAACCAACCAAACTAAGCCAATCTGAGGCATACATATACAACCCATAGCCAATTCTCTCTCTTTGAGAATAGAAGGAAAAACAGGGAAAATAGAAATAACCAATACCCAGGAATTAAAGAACAACCTTAAGGAGAATTCTGACCGCCATCAGTTGATCAGATAGATAAAAAAACACAAACAAGAATTAATTGCCATCGAAATAAACGCTAACAAATTGAGTAGCACCACAAAGATGCACCGCAATGTGCCCATTTTTAACCAGTGAACTATGAACTGCTTAGCCAAAGCTATCCACCATGATCATTCCAGGAACAGAGTTTGTGTCAAGCACACAATTAGTCAGCTATTAATTGAGTCCATATATATGAAGATGAATAGTAGAAACTTCAAAAGAGAATGCATATCCGAATTATCTTATTCAGAAAAAGGCAGGTCTTTAAATGCTGCATTGAGACAAATAATAATAATTAGTTGTTTGTCAACTTACCCTTTCCAGCTTGTATTTAATCCTTTCCTCAGCATTAGCAAACCTCTGCTTTTTCTTCTTCCCTTTGACACCTAGTCTTCTAGGGTCTCTTTTATTGGCAGCCTTTCTCTTTTGCTTTTCTTTTTTCCTTTTCATCTTCAGCCGCTTCTTTGTCATCCACTTGTCCTTTTTAGGCTGCTCAATTTCATGAGTCTCAAATTTCGGCTTTCCCTGTGGAGATATCACTAAATTCACTCTGCCATGGCTAAAATTCCTCAGTGCCAACCATGAACTTCTTAAAGTCAATTGCATTGGAGGCCTAAATATAACCGAAAACCGTTGGCACGGGTTCTAAAGAATTGGCTATAAAGTAACCAGCAAAACTAATGAAAACCCAGTAAACCTCAACTAAAGGTAGAAAGCTAAGCAAACAAATCATTACCGAAATTTTTTATCAAAGAGACCCCATTTTTCCTCAATTTCTCAAATTATTGCTCATGATAATCCCAAACTCCTTAACCCTTTTATTTGCTCCTCGCAGGTTACAGAAAGATTAAAGTTAATTAGGAATTAACAAATCCAGCAACAAAATCACCTAAAAGGATTTAAAATCACGATTTTTTCCTACTAGATTGTTTTTAATCTACACATGCATAACTGTTTTTTTCTTTACACAAACAAAAACATTGAGCAGTAAATAAAACCAAAGAATTACATAGATTCCTTTCTCTCTTTTTTTTTGTGAGGGTACCTGAAATCAAGAGAAATTGGAGAGGATGGTTTGAGAAGTGAGGAAATACAGAATCGACGGGTACCACCGATCAAAGACTTCACCATCTCTTTTGTTCTTACATTCCCCGCAGCTCTCTGCATTAGGATGTGGGTTGGGAGAAAGAGAGGTCGGATTAATTTCATTCTACCTCTCCCAAGTAGATTGAAACTTAATTTCAAGCCCTAAAATCCAAAATCAAATTCAACTAAAAAAAAACCAATTCAGCAGTTTCATTGAAAAGATTCACTTTAATTTGGCCCCAATCCAGTTTCTGAATGGTTGTTGAAACGTGATGGAACCATCAATTGGCATCCAAACCATAGGTCTGAGTGGTATAAAAGTTTTGAAGTTTGCACTGAAGTCGTACTTATACTGGACCGAGGAGAAGGGGCGGGAATGGTTGCGACGGTTTTGGTCATTTTCATGATGCGTAATTTTGATTGCACGCAACGTAACTTTATTTACATAACGTGTATAAAATTTTGTGGATCTTACCCATATTATAAAAATTGATATACAACTAGTGATTTAGGCCCCATATTTTTTTAGTCAAAATCTGACCGTGAACAGTTCAGAAACGGTCATTTTAACTTGATTTATAAGATTTTCCAATTTCCCACTCCCCCAAATTGAATTTGCCCAACATTAGTAAAAAAATAAATAATTAAATAATAAATGTAAAATTAGTAAATAAATTATAATAAAAATTAGAGAAGGTTTTAAGATGCTATTTGAATTTTTTATTTCATTAATAGAATAAAATACCAATAAAGGGAAAAGGGGGAAAAGAAAGCCTAGAATGGGATTTGGCAAATCTAGCTGAATGCATCAACAGTTTAGGAAAAATTTTCCGATATCAATAGTCATTACGAGGTATTTGGATTGTCACATTTACCTAAACAATATTCAAAATGCAATTTTAGACTTTTGAAGCAAAAAAAAATACTCCATTTACATGGACGAATCCAGCAAATAAGAGAAATGAGATCACGAGATTAATTATGAGGAAGATGTTAGCCTTGAGCAACTACATACACCCAATGCAAACCAATTGCTACTTTAATTATCGCTCTTCTAGTTTTGAAGTCAAACACAAGTAAACTTAACTTCAAAAAATAGCATTAAAGAAAATTCCACAAGGCCTGATCCGATTCGACTAAGATTAGTCCCAAATCATAAAATGAATATGGATACTTGTGATTTATACCAAAATTGAAATTTTCACAAGTGAACATGCGTAAAAATAAATAAATAAATAAAAGTAAAGTCCCACATTTCAAACTTTTGTAGGAAAAAGTTATGTAATAACGAAGTCTGGACACTTGGTCACGCTCAATTTTAAAAACTAAAGAAAAAAAAGAAACAAAAATAATACAATGTCCCATATTTCATATTAGGTCACATGAATTATAAACGTAAAATTAAAGCCTGATTTGACAAATTGAAGATTTTTTGTGCTAAATTGACTCTATAATAGTACGGGCATAAATGAAAACTTCTAATATAAAGCTACTGGTTCCAAAAAGCTAGGGGTGAACATCTAAGGGAACATTGCAGGACTTGGCTGCATTTTCAAAAATGTTTTCATCTTCTACGTATGTCTATTGTCCTTTGTGATTCCTTGTCATGATTATAATTAGTTAGGCAGTTAGGTAGCTAATTGTAGAGGATGGGATGATTGAGATGCATTGAGCAATTTTATAAATAATTTTTGTACTAATAAATTGTAATCATTGAGGTAGAGTTGAACAAGGAAGAAATAGGTAACATTTCAATACCAAATGTTTCAACAAATGATTTGGTTATGATTTCTATAGAAAATTCTGAGGAAGGGATGAGAAAATGTGGTGAAATCATCTTAAATCATCAACTGTTGGATGACACGAAGATTGAAACTCATGGAATTTGTATTCAAGAAAATGTTGATATTGAGTTCCAAGACCCGCAATTGATGAAAGGAGAGATTAATATGTCTGAAAGGCAAAGATTGCAAGATGAAGTGGAAATGCCTAGTATATTGCAATAATGGACTGTTGTTGAAAAAAATCACAAAGGGGTTGAAAAACTCAGATCATTGATGTTATTAGGAGGTTTGGATTGGCTGAGAAGTTTGTGCTACAATTCTTTAAGCCAAGAGACTTCATGGAGGTTCTTATAGATTCTCTCTTTCAAGAGTATTTGGCTGGAATCATTAGTAAGGAGTCCAAAATTGTGATGAAACCATGGTCTAAATTAGTGACTAGGTTCAGGGGTGGCACTCTTACAAGTGGAACTACATATTCTCAATCCAAAAATATGTCAACTTGGACATTCTAATTTCACCATGACAGGTGATACTCTTTGTTTTTGTTTCAATGCTAGATGGAATTTACTTGAGCATAAGATTACTTGTCACCGGAGAATTTTGCAAATTAATGATATGGGTATTTTTGTGGAAGTCAACTAGATGTATGGTTATAGCTTTGTAACATTTGAACTCCGGTAATTGCAACCCGAAATGATCAATGATGGATAGGATATTATGTTCAAGGTATTGTTGGAAGGGCCAACTATCATGTACATAGGAGGAGCTACACTAATAAAATTTTTCTCAATAAGGAATCAAGGAAGTTTATTGAAGGATACTAATGCACATACTAGTTTTGCTAAGTCTATGATAGATGTGGAGAATGATGATATAGCAGGTTCTCAAGTTGAGTTTCTTTCAAAGTCTTTATGCCTAAATTTTCTGATGGCAAGTTGTTTTGTACGGTATGGAAAGGATTTAACTTCCTACAAAGATCTTGATAGTAGTGGTCATCCAACTAGAGACTTGATTAGTCAAAGACAACCGGAATGGAGGATAGAAGAATCAAACTGGGGCATGAAGTATGCTTTAAACTTTAAGCAATCCCTCAACATAACTTTGGTAGGAGCTTGGGTGCTTATTCATCCCAATAGAAACCAATTTGAGATGGGAAGATTAAGTCATTGGCTTTTGTTGATGCTGACTCTAAGGGAATTAATCTTAGGAAAGAAATGAAAGTGGGAATTGGTTTGCATCAGTATACACTTGGTTACAAGGTTTCAAGATATTCAAATTATCGAGTTGCACTTGATTGTAAAGATGCAATTGAGTTCTCATTTGAGATCAAGTATCCTAAACATTTTGATATTTGTTTTATAATCAAGAGGATGCAGACTATGTCAAAGCTATAATTGTACAAGGACAAGATATTTTCATAGAAGTTTATGGTGTGTCCAAGATTTTTATAGTTGCGAAAACTTGGCCTACAATACGGAGTAAAATTCAAGGCTACAAACTTTTGGAAGAGAGTTTTTCTTGAGATCCAGGAGGATGGGATTATCTACTAGATTGCAACTTCCAAAATCGACCTCAAGACTTCGAAAACAAAATTGATACGGGTTGCTCTTTTGGTCATATTCTTTAAAGGCCAAGCTATGCAGTATCATTCCTAATCTCAATCCATGAGGACAAGAGTTCTTTTAAGTGGGGAATATTGTCATGATCCTAATTAGTTAGACAGTTATGTTGCTAATCCTAGAGGATGGGATAACTCAGATGTATTGAGTAATTTTATAATAGTTTTTGTACCGCTCAATTATAATCATTAATCAGTTTTAGTGAAATGCAAATTCTCTCTCTTATTCATCTTCTCTATTCTACATTTCTCCTTTCCTTCTCCTAATCTCTCTCTCTCTCTCTCTCTCTCTCTCTCTCTCTCTCTCTCTCTCTCTCTCTCTCTCATTTCATTCTTAATTCTAATCTTCTAACTTGGTTCCTGACAATCCCTTTCTTCTCTAAAAGTTAGGCTGGCTTGTGGTAATGTTTGAACATAACCCCTATCTCTTACACACTTATACACACAGTACATGCACCAAAACTCACAAAAACAAAAAAAAATTAAAAAAAGAGGGGACAAATCAGCAAAAACCAACACTAAGATCTCTAAACCTCTTTTGAAATGCCCATTGGAGCCTAATTTGTTCTCCCTTTGTCACAACTGCACAATACCACACGTCTCCGACTCTCAACAAAACCACTAATCAAACTTTTCTTTTAGTCTAGGCTTTTCATCAAGCATGTCTCGAGCATAAAAGGTTCTCGAAAGTCTACTAAAATCCAAGCAAAGAAGGGCCCAAGTTAGGAATCCAACCAAAAGTCTCAGTATTTATATCATATTAAAGGAACAAACAATAACAAAATTGCAATCACCGAGATTTGGCTCAGTGGCCACTAGAGAAGGATTAAGTCCCTCTTTTAGCTGTAGGTCGGGGTATCGAATGCCACCTATAGTGAAAAAATTCTAAAGAAGAGCATCCCTTTGATACAGCTAGGTCCATATACCTGTTAGCGAACCCCTACCTACTGTGAAAAAAATCCAAAATAGCTGCCAGAAATACCCCTTTGATCCAGTTGAGTTTGTATACCTGATAACCCCCCAACCCTGTAGACTAAGATAGATTATATTATAAAAATGTCATCATAGATTAAAATAGATTAGGTTATAAAAATGTCATCATTGCAACCAAAAAGACAAAAGACAATCACAAAATTGCAAAGAAATTACCAAGGAATTCAATAACAACACAAAGAAAACAAAAACTAAAACTAAAACATCCAAACAAGCTGCATGAACTTGGAAATTAGAAGAAGAAATGAGATAAAAAGGACCTTCCAATGCATTTTCACTTCAAAAACATGAATTGGGAAGTGATGGTGAAGATCTAAGTTGATAATTAACGGGCCAAAATTTTGATTTGGACTAATATCTTTTTCATGAGAAAGTTGCTAGGAACCAGTCCAAACTCAACGAAGAAAGAAAGGAGAAAAAAAAGTTTGAATGAAACTTATCGTTTAGGGTTGGATGCAGTTTCAAACACTAGTTAGAAGGATCGGACATTTAAAAAATGAAGAAAATTCCAATTTTATAATCAGATGATGCAATAGATGCACAACATGCCTATTGAATGTTCGACGAGTTGGTTAAACTCTGTGTAAACTCTCTGCTTTTGTCAAACATATTTCTTGGATGCTACATTGGCTGTTTGAAACTCCTAGTGAAGACCAACTCAACAGCCTTAGGACCTAAAATTGAAATATCGGATGCCCGACAACTCTAACGGCTAATTTTTTGATAGCTAGTTTTTTGACAATTAGAGAGACTTTTAGGATAAAATTTTACTATTTATAAATATTTCTAAATCTGAATATTAGAGAGAGTTTTGCATACAATTTGTAAGAGCGATTTTGAGAGAAAATACTTTTGTGTGTGATGTACTTGTAATCTTGGTGCGGTTGAAAAGTGTAGTAGTTCTTAATTGGTTGGGAGGCATTCAATTGTGGTTAACTTGACTGAAGTTGTAAAGCTCTTTAACTCAACTAAAAAGTAGTTAGGGTGAGTAAAGAGTGAGTTTTCTTATGTACAAGTTGGTTTGCTATGCCATCAAATTAAGAAACTATTATGGAATATTGAACTCCAAGTTTGAAAGAAACTTGGGAGTTTGTTTGATTTGAAACTCTTTTTACTTTTTATTGCTTTCTTTTATTACTTGTTTGTATGGTTAAATTGCTTTATTCTTATTGTTATTTTGCTTATTTAAGTGTGTGTTCGCTTAGGTGAATTTAATTAGTTAGAATTGGGTGAAATTTTTGTCATAATTTGCTTAGTTTAATATAACCTAATTCAGCCCCCTTTTAAGTTGCACATGGGGTTAACAGATAAGTAGTCACAGCAATGGCGAGGACGATGACTTCTCCACCTCTTTTTGCTCCTCAGTGTTACTCCTGTTTTTTGTTTTTCGTTTTCTGTTTTCTTCGTGATTTGCTTATTTTGCCTTTTAAATCTTTTTAATTTATTGTAGAAAGAAATAAAATCTAATTAATAGAGAATTATTTCAAAAACCAAAATTTCCTGAAAATTAAAAGAACTTTCTTACACAAATTGAGAATTTGAATTCATTAACTTTAGGATAGTTACTTGAAAATCAATACATCAAACGTAAAGGTATCCATTTACTAAGTTTCCCTCATATCTAAGATTCCTTTTGCACTCACACTGAATAAATGTTAATGAAAATTACAATTATTCATTTCCTTTTATCAAAATGTCTCATTTACCCTCTTCATTCCAAAATCCGTTAGTTAATGTTAATCACTACCATAATAGAATTTTCTTTACAACCAATTCTACTTTTTTCTTTTATTCTTTTCATTCCTTTCTTGCTTCGATTTCTTCACTTCATTTTTTCTTGCCATTAGTTTCTTCTCTTTCCCTTTCTCATTTACATCTTTAAAATGAAAATTGTTGATATGTGTTGATGACGGAGCACTAAGGACCAATGGCGATGAACAAGTCATTCAAGTACCAAGTGGTCCGATCACAAGAGATCGTGCCAAGAAGATGCGCGAATCCCTTCACGCTCTTGTATGCACTATCCAAGAGAGAGTTGGAGATGACTTAAAGATCATTGAAGGCCTGGAGAATGAAGATTCTACAATATACACTTTACTCCAAGTTGAAGAGTCAAGTGAAGGCTAGTTGCTTAGAAGGCCGAGGGCAATTAGTCATTTGATCATTGTTTTCGTTATTTATTTTTGTTAATAAATTCGTTCACATAACCTCCCAAGTTGGCCGAATATTAGATAGTCATTTTTAGTCATTTTATTCGGCCCAAAAGGCCTTAGTCTAGCCGAAAGCATCTAATAAGTGAATCCACTTCACTTTAGGTCTAGTTTAAGTGAATCCAATTCACTTTAGGTTGTCAATTGTATGGCTATATATAGCTAAGGCAAGAGACCTTTACAATCAGTTTTTGAATCAATAAAATTGTGAGTTTTCACTTTTCTCTTTCCAAGAGAGCTTCTTTGAATATTTGAGAATCTTTCTCAAGTTATTCAAGTGAAATTATCAATCAAGTAACTCCTTGGTTGTGGCGTTCCTCTACCTATAGTTTGGTTCGCTAATTCGTTAAATAGTGGGTTGAGATAGTATTAATATTGTTCGCTACTTCAGACATTAGATTGAGTCAAATTTTCACTGCCAAACAGTCGGTGTTCGTTGTCTAGATCGTGTCCAAGTGTAGATCACATCAGTTGGTATCAGAGCTAGTCGACAACCACTAGGTTATATCCTTCCTTTTCTTTTTGTTTCGAATCATATACGTTTGTTCCAAATCTGTTTTGTGTGTAAAAAAAAAAAATTAGTCGCTAGTTTCTCCTTTTTTTTCATTTATCTTGGCTGTCCGCAATTGTCACTTTTCTGTCCACGTTGTGTCGAGTATTGCTACAGTGATTCTTGTTCTTATTTGCATCTTAGTGTCGTGTGTTAGGTCTTGGAAGTAATCGAGTCAAAAAAAAATATTCAGCCGCTAGGGTTCTTGTTTTCTTTATCATGCTCTTATTGTGTCTTGTGTGCAATCTATTTTAGCCGATAGCTGCTACTAGATTTTCTCTAGATTATAGTGTCAATTGTGTCCTTATTGTGTCGCTTTGGTTGTGAAAACAATCCAGCAAAAAAGGTTAGAAAATAAAAGAGTCGCATACCAAGTTTCTTGAGTGGAAATTGCTGGAATTTTGCCTTTGGGACTGCCGAACCTAATTTTGCTATTGAACCTTGAATTCTTGTATTGTTTCTTGCAAAACTTGAATACCACAAGCATAGTTGGGAAGTTCTTGAGCTTCTTGATCAGATTTCTTGAAGTTCTTGAAAACAAATTTGGGAGTTCTTGGGAAAAGTCTTGGGTTTCTTGAAAACTTCCACTGTGTTGGCACCTTGAACTTTGATCCAAAAATTGCATTGTTGGAACTAAATCTGATTCCTTGAAAAAGATTTAGTAAGAGCCGCAAAAGAAAAAAAAGGAAGAAAGAAAAAGGAAAGAAACGGCTCTAGGTTTCCTACTTAGAAAACAAGTCCCATTCTTGATCAACTTCTAATCCTAAAGCTATTTGATTGAAGTCAGCCAAGAAAGCCAAGAACCAAAACCAAACCTCCCAAAAACACCCTCAACCTTCCACATCAGATCCGAAACAAGCCTTCCAACCCTTGCATCCCAAAAACAACTGCCACCCTTGTCGCATTTCTCCTCCTAAGTCGGTTGTCGCTCCAATAGCCAACCGAATTAGCTGGTTTTCAAGGGTTGTGAACCGCACCACGTGGGCATCCCAAAAACATCAAAACTCCATAAACAACCTGGCCACAACAAAAGGAAAAAAATTCCAGTAATACAAGGGTCCAAACAGTCCAATCGACACTTACATTGTTATAGTCCTTATCAAAGTCAAACTCTTGAGTCACTCTTCGCGGACTAAAACAATAATATTATTCCAGTGTGCTCCTCGTATCCTTTGCTGTCTTTTGGAGTCATTATTCATTCTTCAACTTTTAGCTAATCCTACGTCACTTGTGGGGAAAATTTGATTGAAGTTTGGTTGAACTATTTGGAGGAAATTTCTGATTTCTTCAAGGAAGCAATCAAGGGATTTGAAAAGTGAGTGGTGAGAACATTAGAGTGTTTTAAACACTTGAGTGATACACGATTGAGCGAAACACGTGAGAAAGCGAGTGAGGCTATTTTCTTACTAACCTTTTCTTGCAGGTACACATGAGCATGGACGAAAGTGAACACATTCAAATGGCTGACCCTACGCTTAAATTGAATGCCATGTTGAATGAATTTTACAAAAAAATCAACCTCTCTATCGAATCCTTGCATGAGCGAGTTGACAAACTCGAACATGTACAAAGCTCCGTGAAACAAGGTCGAATGAGGACCTCCACTAAGGAATCCGAAGAGAACTCAAATGAAGATGAACTTGAGGATGATTCGGACTTTGATGACTACAATGGATGGAACAAAGGGAGGAGGAGGAGACACAAGCGAAGTAATGACCCAATTCCAGGCATTAAACTTAAGATTCCTTCATTCCAAGGAATATCCGACCTCGAAACCTACTTGGAATGCAAAAGAAAGATCGAAATGATCTTCGAATGCAACCACTATACTGAAAGCTAAAAGGTGAAACTCGCGGCCATTGAGTTCACCGACTACGCGGCCATATGGTGGGATCAACTACGCACTAGTTGGAGAAGGAATGATGAGCGCCCCGTTCGGACTTGGGATGGGCTAAGAAGGCTAATGAGGAAACGCTTCGTACGAGTCTACTACCATCAAGGCTTGCACAACAAGTTGCAAACTCTCACCCAAGGTAGTCTATCGGTTGAAGACTATTACAAAGAAATGAAAATGGCCATGATGCGGGCTGATATTCATGAAGATCTAGAAGCAACCATGGCTCAGTTTTTAAGAGGCTTGAGGATTGACATTGTTGACATAGTGGAGCTACACCACTACCTTGACTTGAATGAATTGCTAGATAAACCCATCAAGGTAGAAAGGAGACTTAAAAGGAGGGATACGGTTCGCCAAAACTCCAACTCCCAATCTGGAATTTGGAGGAATCCGACCACAAGGAACAAAACCAACCCTTCGTTTGTACCTAATGCCTCAAAGCCAAATGAAGCTTGCCAAGGGAGTATGAGACCGAATGCACCACTGTCCAAACCAACTCCAAAGGAAGGGATTAAATTCAATCAAGAGGTCTCTAAACCGAGGACCCGTGCCACTAAATGTTTTAGGTGTCAAGGGTTTGGACACATTGCCTCCCAATGTCCAAACCAACGGGCCTTAATTATGTTACCCAATGGAGATATGTTGACCGATGAAGAAAAAGAAGAATATGAGATGATGTCATCATTGGAAGAGGAAGTAGACAAGCTTGAGGAAATACCAATCAATGACAAGGTTGGGTGTCTAATGGCAAGGCGAGCACTAGCTACCCAAACTAGTCGAGATGAACTACAACGAGAAAACATCTTCTATTCAAGGTGCCATATAAACAACAAGGTGTGCAACCTAGTCATTGACCCGGGGAGTTGCACTAATGTTGCAAGTGCATTGATGGTGGAACGACTCAACTTGCCAATAACTGAGCATTCTCGACCCTACAAGATTCAATGGTTAAATAATAGCGGCGAGGTACGTATTTCTAAACAAGTCTTAGTTACTTTTCGCATTGGTCGATATGAAGATGATATTGTATGCGATGTAGTATCTATGCAAGCTGCACATATTCTTTTAGGCCGTCCTTGGCAATTTGATAGGAGAGTTACTTTTGATGATTTCTTGAATAAATACTCTTTTTTGTATAATGGTAAAAAATCACACTTGCACCTCTTACACCACAACAAGTGCATGAGAACCAAGTTAGTTTAGAAAGGGAGTATGATATGCATGCAACTAATAAAAAACAACCCTCAAAGGGAAAACTAGGGAAGTTGGCCGAAACACCAAAAGATAAAAGTGGGTCTAGTCGAACCATTGAGCTAGGAAACGAAAGAAAAAATAGCATGCTAGCTGGAGTGAAGGATGTGAGAAAAACTTTACATTCTAACCAAGTCTTACTTATATTGATTTGTAAAGAAGCTTTTATTACTAATGAATGTGATACTTCTCTATCTAGTATTGTCACTAACCTCTTACAGGAGTATTAAGATGTGTTTCCTGATGATGTACCTAATGGATTGCCACCTTTGAGAGGGATTGAACATCAAATCGATTCCATCCCTGGGGCTTTTTTGCCAAACAAGGCACCATATAGGACTAATCCCGAGGAAACTCAAAAACAACAAAGGCAAGTAGAGAAGTTACTTGGCAAAGGATGGATTCGTGAGAGTCTAAGTTCTTGTGCTATACCCGTTCTACTTGTGCCTAAGAAAGATAGAGGATGGAGGATGTGCACTGACTATCGAGCCATTAACACCGTCACGGTAAATTATCGTCATTCCATACCTCGTTTAGATGACATGCTTGATGAATTGCATTGTGCTATCATTTTTACAAAAATTGATCTGAAAAGTGGATACCATCAAATTCATATAAAAGATGGGGACAAATGGAAAACCGCTTTTAAGACTAAATATGGCTTATATGAGTGGTTAGTCATGCCTTTTAACTTAACTAACGTACCTAGTACCTTTATCAGATTAATGAACTATGTTTTACATCCCTTCATCGGTAAATTTGTGGTAGTGTATTTTAATGATATCCTAATTTACAGTAGGAGTTTAGAAGAGCATGCACTGTATTTACAAGCTGTCTTAGATGTACTTCGAAAGGAAAGGCTCTACGCCAACCTTAAGAAGTACACTTTTTACACTGATCAACTTGTTTTTCTAAGATATGTTATAAGTGCATAGGGGGTACAAGTTGATCAAACAAATGTAAAGGTTATAAATAAATGACCAACATCTATCAATATAAGTGAGGTGAAGAGTTTTCATAGCTTAGCAAGCTTCTACAGACGCTTTTCAAAGACTTTAGCATCGTAGCCGCACCACTTACAACCATTGTCAAGAAAAAAGTGCCATTTCAGTAGGGGGAAGAACAAGTTAAATCCTTCCAATTACTTAAACACAAGTTCACACATGCACCTGTTCTTAGTTTACCTAACTTTCACAAAGCTTTTGAAATCGAGTTTAATGTTTCTGGTATAGGTATTGGAGCTATTCTACTCCAAGAGAGTCGCCCGATTGCCTACTTTAGCAAAAAACTAAATGGAGCTTCCTTGAACTACTCAACTTATGACAAGGAGCTAATGGCCTTAGTTCAAGCACTCCAAACTTGGCAACACTACCTGCGACTTCGAGAGTTCATTGTACATACTGATCATGAATCGGTCAAGCACATCAAGTCACAAACCAAATTGAGCAAACGACATGCAAGATGGATAGCCTTCATCGACACTTTTGCATTTGTGATCAAGTATAAAATAGGTAAGTCTAATGTAATAGCTGATGCACTTTCTAGACGATACACACTTCTTACTACATTAGATGCTAAGTTGTTAGGTTTTGAATTTCTTAAAGATTTTTACTTCCTTGCCACGAGACACTTGTGAGCATTACTCTATATCATAGGGGTTCTTGTATTACAAGGATAAGTTGTGTATTCCATCGAGCTCCATGTGACCCCCGTTGGTTTGAGAACCACATGGAGGAGGACTCATGGATCACTTTGGAATTACTAAGACGTTGTCTGCCCTCCAAGAGTACTTCTTTTGGCCACGAATGAGGAGGGATGTCAAAAGACATATACAAAGGTATGTAACTTGCCACCATGTAAAATCAAAGATAAATCCTCATGGTCTCTACATCCCTTTACCCATCCCGCATGCACCTTAGATTGACTTGTCTATGGACTTTGTATTTGGATTACTTAGAACTAGGCAAGGTCATGATTCTATTTATGTTGTGGTTGACCGTTTCTCTAAAATGACACATTTTATACCTCCATAAGACTGATGATGCTAAACACAATAGGCTCCGTTTGGATTAGCTGTTTTTGGGATTGTTTTTCAAAAACAGCACTGTAGCATTTCGTTTTTGAAATACAAGTCCGTTTGGATTAGTTATTTTTGGGGTTGTTTTTCAAAAACTATATGAAAAACTTTTACTGTAGATGTTATTGGATTATTTTTAGAGGTATTTTTAAAAAATATTTTTTGAGTATTTTTATAATTTATAATTTTTATAATTTTTATAATTTTATATTTATATACATTTATGCATTTATAATACATTTATAAATATCTATAAATAAATATATTTATATATTTATATAAAAATATATAAATGTATTATATTATAGATAATACATAATATAAATATATTTATAAATGTATATTATTATAAATGTATAAATTATAAATGTATATTATACAAATGTATAAATTATAAATTATAAATTATTATTTTTATATTTTTATATAAATATAATTTATGCATTTATAATACATTTATAAATATTTATAAATAAATATATTTATATAAAAATATATAAATGTATTATAAATGTATTATATTATATATAATACATAATATAAATATATTTATAAATGTATAAGTGTATATTATTAAAAATTATAAATGAATATTATATAAATATATAAATTAATATATTATAAATATATATTAATATTATGTATAAATCAATTAATATAATTAATATAAATGTATTAATGTATTAATGTTACGTATTAATGTAAAATTAATATTATGTATATTAATATAAATGTAGAAATGTATTATAAATGTATTATATTATATATAATACATAATATAAATGTATATTATAAATATACATTAATATATATATTATGTATAAATGTACATTTATATAAATGTATAATATATATAATATATAATATATAATATATATTATATTATATATAATTTATATAATTTATATAATATATAACATTTATATAAATATATAAAAATATTTTTTAAATAAAATAAAATATTTATAATATGTATAAATAAATATATATATATAATATATATAATATACATTAATAGTATATATATTATAATATACTGTACATAATATATTATGTATAATTATTTATACATTTATGTATACAATATTACATATTATGTATATTATATTATGTATTATATTAATGTATATAAATATTTATATAATATATAATATATAAATATATAATTTTCAATTTGTTTATTTCAATTTATATTAATATAATATATATATAATATACATAATTGAAATATACATATAGAGTTGTTTTTGATATGGTGTTTTTTGAGTTGTTTTGGAAATACACATTTACTGTAGCATTTGGAATGTGAAAAACAGTTTTTCAAAAACAAAGGTAAAAACAAGGGATCCAAATGGACCCTAATAGCTGACTTGTTTTTTAGAAATATAGTACGTTTGCATGGCATGCCTCGCACCATTGTGTTAGATAGCAATGTAAAATTTTTTAACTATTTTTAAAAAACTTTGTGGTATAAACTAGACACGAAACTGCTTTTCTCTACTTCTAGCCACCCACAAACTGATGGACAAACTAAAGTAGTCAATAGGACTTTATCTACATTGTTGCGAGCAATAATCAAAAAGAACATTAAAACTTAGGAAGATTGCTTATTACATGTTGAATTCGCTTATAATCGCACGGTGCACACTACGACACAATATTCACTTTTTGAAATTGTTTATGGCTTTAACCCTCTTACTCCATTGGACTTATCTCCTTTACCTGAGTATGAGAGAGTTAACTTGGATGATAAAAAAAGGTGAATTTTGTGCGAGACTTACATGCTAAGGTTTGAGCTAACATCGAGAAACACACCCTTCAATATGTCCAAAGTGCAAACAAAGGCCGTCGCAAGATAGTATTTGAACCAGGTGACTAGGTTTGGATACACATGCGAAAGGAGTGCTTCCCACTCCAAAGGCGCAACAAACTCCTTCCAAGGGGTGATGGTCCTTTCCAAATAATAGAAAGAATCAACGACAATGCCTACAAACTTGACCTTCTAGGTGAGTATGGGGTACATGCTACGTTCAATGTTGCTGACCTAAGTCCTTTTTATGCAGACAACGAGATTGATTTGGGGACAAATTGCCTTCAAAAGGAGGGGACTGATGACGGAGCACTAAGGACCAATAATGATGAACAAGTCATTCAAGTACCAAGTGGTCCGATCACAAGAGCTCGTACCAAGAAGATGCGCGAATCCCTTCACGCTCTTGTATGCACTATCCAAGAGAGAGTTGGAGATGATTTAAAGATCATTGAAGACTTGGAGAATGAAGATTCTACAATATACACCTTACTCCAACTTGAAGAGTCAAGTGAAGGTTAGTTGCTTAGAAGGTCGAGGGCAATTTAGTTATTTGATCATTGTTTTCGTTATTTATTTTTGTTAATAAATTCATCCACATAACCTCCCAAGTTGGCCAAATATTAGATAGTCATTTTTAATCATTTTATTCGGCCCAAAAGGCCTTAGTCTAGCCGAGAGCATTTAATAAGTGAATCCACTTCACTTTAGGTCTAGTTTAAGTGAATCCAATTCACTTTAGGTTGTCAATTATATGGCTATATATAGCCAAGATAAGAGACCTTTACAATCAGTTTTTGAATCAATACAATTGTGAGTTTTCACTTTTCTCTTTCCAAGAGAGCTTCTTTGAATATTTGAGAATCTTTCTCAAGTTATTCAAGTAAACTTATCAATCAAGTAACTCCTTGGTTGTGGCGTTCCTCTACCTATAGTTTGGTTCGCTAATTTGTTAAGTAGTGGGTTGAGATAGTATCAATATTGTTCGCTATTTCGAGGATTAGATTGGGTCAAATTTTCGCTGCCAAACTGTCGGTGTTCGTTGTCTAGATCATGTCCAAGTGTAGATCACATCATGTGTTGTCTCCACTGTCTCAAATTCGTATAACCTTAGAAACTATTGGTTGCTACTATGGATAATCGATTACGAATTAAGATAATTGTAATATTTTTACACATTTTGAATTGTCTAATCACTCAATCATGCACTTAACGAATTAGTAGTAGTTACTCGCAATGTGCACTGCCAAAACTTTCATTTTTTTTGAGGGATCATAAAGTTAGGATCGTAAAGTATCTATCTTTCCTTTTTTAGAGCGATCATAAAGTTAGGATCGTAAAGTATCTATCTTAACATTCATATACTTAGGATCAATCTTAGCAATTCAAAACCACACTACTAATTTATGGCATATTATTTAAACTAGTGGAAAAAGCATACCCTATAGGTGTGCAAATTAAACTAAAGAAATATTTATTTTTATAATAAAAAAAGTAGAAGTCAACTATAAATTTCATTTTCAAAACCCCTAACTCTAAATGTTTATAGTCACTAGTGCTTGAGGGCACGCACAATATGTGTACAACTAATAAAAAGATATTAACATGGTTAGAATTATTTTTGCTAGAAAGTAGCAGTTTAAAATGGTTCAACGATGCCAAAAAAATGTTTTAAAGTGACAATTTATTTTGGAGAAGTTACAGTTAATTTGACAATTGTAAGGATGTAGAGCGGTTATAGGGAAGTAGATAGTTAAAACGATGTACTTACCTTAAGAAATAAGGGTATATTTGGCACAACATTAAGTGATAGATTTTGTTTACACCAACCCTTCCCTCTGGCTTTATATATAGTAAGATATTTCAAAAGTTATTAAAATCTAATAACTATCTACATTTTCTTTGTGATGGTTATGTTGTGTAAATACTTATTTATGTGAGTGTAAAAATGGATAATAGAAAATCATGAAAAGTTTTACACCAAATAAGGCCTCATGCTTTACATATACAAAAAAGGTTTTTCTAACAAGTTCACTTAACGTACCATG